ACTGTGTAAGCCAGAATATCACATTAGAAGAGACATAAAGCAAAACAATTACAGTTATGAGTTATGATTACAAACGGTTTTCAGAAGTGTGACTTTTTCACTCGCCAAGTCGTTCACAGATTTTGCCATGCTCTGAATACCGTTTCAGTTGTTGGCTTGAACAGTTCCATGAGTATTGAGTGAGTGATGTGTCAGACAAACAGTTTCAATGTAAAATTGTTCTCATCTGTAACACGATTAATGGCACGTAACGGTGGTAGCGTTCGTCACAGCCATACAAAATAATCCGAAAATAACACCAATACAGAACATATAGAATCACAGCAACACAGGCATTACAAGAGATGGAATAGAAGCATGATATCATATGTTTAACAAGTAAATGTGGACCTGAACTCTTCCGTAAATATAAAGGTTTTTATCACTTGGAGAATGATGTCTCCTGTTTAATCTCGCAATTGATACCGATTATTGATTATTGAGTATAAGCATATTACCTAACACAAATTACTAATCTGTAACGTTTTACTCGCATACAAAATAGACCGAATAATGATTGATATTAAACGATAAATCGAATCGTGTATTTCGTCTTCAGTTCGATATTAACGTCACTCACCTTAGCATAAACACTATCTAAACAGTATAAGCACACTGTATATGTAAATTCAGACTAGATGTCACTCTATGTAAGAATAAATGCAATCTGCATATAGAATATATAAAATGTATATATATTTACTTACCGTTATATAAAACTACCAGTAAGACTGCATACAAAGCACATCTCATGAAGCTGGCAAAAACACAGTGTGTCATACTCGAACGTTATTCCGATGATGAACATCTAACACACACCATTGTACTGTTTCTATTCTAGAATATGATGTTTTGCGAGTCAAACAGTTGTCCTTGTGATCATACCGCCATATGCGCTAGCTTCTGACCGACGAGATCCAATTAGTTTTCATTGACGATGTTAATCGATATCACAGGTAACGGAGACCACAGTTCGCACACCAGAGTACCCCGGCTTATGTCGTCCTGGAGACGTAATGCATTGCTTGTTTTCAAAATTGAAAAAAATATATATACAAAAAGTACATTATTAGAATATAATTGAAATATATAAATTATGTAAAAAATTGTGACCTCTTGCAAATGGTTAAGAACGTTGGTCAATATTTCGAAGATTGAGTTAAGTATCAGAAAATATCAACACAGAACCAAGTCATCTTAAGAAACCGCGTTTTGAATTGCCTGGTCACTTTAGTCTGTGCAATGATAGATTTGACAATGTACAGTAATTCATATATCTTACAAGGTTAGAACGAACGGCTACACACTGCCATATAGTGAGGTCGATGTTCTAAAGGAGCGAAAGTCTTACATGTTATAATATGGAAATGGGTATGTGGATTTAACAGAATTGTCATCATGCAGCTTCTTAAAGACGCCGAGGTCAAAAACTGATCGAAGGCCCAAAGAGCAAACGTAAATTGCTTACGAATGTTTGAAAGTCATTTGATTTGCGTGTTGTATTATCGAGGATATCCGTCTGTGATGAGTGAAAACTGTTTGATCATAAAATGATTACCAAATACGCCAGCGTTTGAGACATCTTGACACGCGATGGAATGACCTTTTCCACTTAACTCACGTCCTCAACACCACCAAATTCCCGAGATGGCAATGGCTACAACACGTGTTAACAATTACTAATGGATTGGAAATGTGGATGGACAGTCATCGATTTCCCGACTACCGAGCAATAATTTATCGGTAGCTTGTATTAGAGAATGATACGTTGTTTAACTGTAATGTACTTTTTGATATGTCCTCTGTGTATTTTTATTATGAGTCTAAAACATGCTTCACTGGCAATCAATTTCGAATAGTTTACTAATCTTTCATTGATATTATACATTCCTTCAGTTCTGAAGGAACTGCTTTTGGATGGCCTCCCTATTGCAAAGTTATAATACGTAACTATGCTTTTGATGTCTGATTCCCTCCTAGACACTCTTGCACTAAATGCAAGCAACATAGATAGCATGGCGAACATTTGATTTCTATTGAGTTACCGGAAAACAAACACAGAAGAAAAATCAATATTCATTCGATATCAGTTAAATGATAAAATTGTATTATTTCGGTTTTTGAACACCCACTAGAGATCCCTATGCGGTATTGATCAAACGGGAAAATAATCAGACTTGAATGTTTGTTATCTATACCACTAATGTTCCAACATGTTTCAACAAATGTGAACGTTGAATTAACTTTACAATGAGGATTTAGATGAGATAAAGCTGCTTTACATAAATGACGTGTTGATTATTGTCTATAAAGATATACAACAACAAGCTAGGTGGCAACATTTGAGACCAAGACAACACAATTGAAAAAAAACCCATTACAAACCCAAAATCGGTAGGGGAAAAAGATTTAAGCATGCCTAGTGAATTCAATGTTGCTTACCTGCTTTCATTTGGGAACGTGACAAAACTTACCTGGATTTACATAGCGGGTGTCGTCGGTAAAGCATATTGGCTATCCTTCTGAAACACCTTGTCTGGCCATCCACGTACTTATTTTAGGCGTTTCATGGTAAATCTTTTTCGCTTTTTCTGTGGCCATGTCGGTATTTTCTTTGCTGTTTTTGTTAAAAACCAAAAATCCAATAGAAGTTGGTTACGTGTACAAAAGAGGACACGCATCACTAACAGAAATATTCAGCACACCACTTGTTTTGGATACAGCAAGTATTAATGATTACCTATAATTATCCAACAATTAAACTCTAGATTGCGTTATCACATCCATTTACGATTATCTAACAAAACACATTCAGCAGTTCACCGACTTATCGCCATGGAATACGTTTTGGTCAGTTAAGTTGTTATCGTTATCAAATTTTCCTCTGTTCATATAGACATATAATGGAAAATTGAAAAAAAAAAAAAAAAAAAAATCGAAAACAGTATTTGTGATCCAATTGTTGTATTGAATAATCTCATTATCCTATTTATAGAAATTGTCGGTGGACTATAAGTCCCCAAGAATTGCCGTCACCTGCGTGCCATGTTTTAATTCATTTGATTTGTGGCACGGTTAAGAATATTTAAATATTCTTGACATTCTTTTGAGCTTTAAGATATATGAAATTTACTGAATCAAGGGCTAGTGCACCTCTCCATCTAGATTTTAGCATGATTTCGATAATTGCATCTCATGTCACCTCCTACAGATAACCAAAGCCTATTGTTATCTACATGTATATCTATATTTGTGCAAATATGACACACAAAAAACATCCATTTAGTGTTTTGGTTGAACAATTTATTTGTTAATGATTAACAACATTTAATAACATCAACAGTAATGTTTAGATAACAGATTCCAAGTCGAAGTGTAGTGATGAAGCGATGTATCAATGGTGTCCTCATCTTGTGTGACAGCACGGAAGGTAGTTTTTAGGTTGTAGCTACGCATAGCACTGAAAATCCAGTCTATTATTTTCATTGTATAAGAAGATTTGTAACCTAACTCAGAAAAGATGATTAATTATAATCTCTGTTAGATAATGCTTCATGTTTTCTTATAAGCAAAAACAATACATACAAGTAATAATATCAACATTGCTGCTGAAGGTATTTTTCGTAAGGGGCAAGACATGTCATTGGTACTATACATATTAGTAGTTACCGAATGTTAACGTATTAAGACAAATTTCAGCATCATTGTTAGCTTAATCGTAAATTAAACTGATTTAGAAGGAAAGAAAGTTCACGAACTATCATAACGGTATCACCATATTAGTAGTGAGCCAAACATTGAGAATACACATTCTGGTATACAGGATGTTACAGAATATCATTACTTGTACTTCCCTTAGTGTTTTGATATCAACACGAAACATTGATTTTTTGATTGGTTGGTTTGTTTGACAGATTTTTCGTCTCCGCGACTCCTACCGTTGCTTGGCATCGTCTCACCGACGGATGTCAGTGTACATTGATCATGTTATAGTGCCATATTGTAAGAAGTAGTAAGAACACATAGCTACAACAAAATAAGGTCACGTTGAAACATTCACAGGCTAGGTATCAAATGAGTCCACACTACCCATGTGTAAAATATGAATACAAGTCTTAACGTATATAGGATGTATATAATGTACACACATATATAATGTGTAATATACAAAAATATGGCATGGATACATTCATTGAATAACAAAATATTCAAATGATTTTTAATACATCATGCGCATTTATTAACTGTGTTGTGATTCCATGTGTTCGTGTTCAAATACACAAAGTTCAAGGTAAAAACACCTCAATTTAAAAACATGTCAACGAATTATGTACTACCAAGGGCCTATACATTCAATTTCCAGATTATAGTGTACCCTGAACGCATGGAAACACACAGTTTAGTTTATTGAACAATGACTTATCAACGTTAAAGGATTCAAACTATATTATTGCACTGTAAAAACCTCTTGTAACGATTAATGTTAAAGTATAACGCAAAACATGCTTTATATTTACTTACATGTGCATGTTTGTATAACCGATTAATTATTACGTAGGTCAGGCAGATCACCATTATTATAACTTTGCATGGGTCAGATCAACATCCAATGCATACACGGATGATGTTTGGCTACCTGTCCTCTTTTATTGTTACTCACGAAACAACTACGGCAATGGGAGTTTTGTAGACGACGTAACAGTTCTACAGGTTCTAAGTCACCGGAGTCACGGTTGGATGACACACGAAATCACCATGTAAGACGCTGCTTTTCCTGATTGTTGCTTTCAAATGTGTTAATGCCAGCATGACGAAGGTAAAACACATTGAGAAATCGAAAAGGAAGCAACACCTGATGATTCGTTTTGATTTATGTTCAAGTTGTCAAATAAACCGACACTGGACTCTTATGGCCATGATGACACATTATTGATCTCACACGAGAACATACTTGAATGATACTACAAGTAAATAATTGACTTCACTGTGTAAAACCGGCGATAATTTGGAGAAACTTCGGATTCATATTGGTGAAGATTTCCCTCGAATTCTGTGAGAATTCTTGACAACTCGCTGCTGCAAGTGTCTTTACTAATGACACTCCCCGCAGGGGATGGGGACCGGCTGTAGTCAGAAGATGGGTCTGCCGAGCGTATGCACGTATATGGCGTGCTAGACCTCGGTACATCATTAAGTGGTATTTGAACATTATCTTGAGAACTCCTGCCAGAGGATTTCAGGACGTTCGCGTCAGATCCAAAGAAAGCGCTGTCATAGCTATCAGTATCTCCGTTCTGTTGTTTATCTATGTTATTGTTTATGTTGTCATCGTAATCTGTTGGGATCTCGTCTCCTGCCCTGTATCTCGACTCTAACAAGGTTTCATTATTACGAACAATCCAATTTTCCACTGCGGTGTTTGTTTTTGTGGAACAATATTCATATGGGCTTTCAGCAAAATCACATTCTCCTGTTTCCTTGAAACAACAGTCGCACAAAAGTCCGTCCGTTTCTGATTCACAACGCTTTCTCAGCTCCTCAGCTACTTCTAAATCATAGTAGGAGACATCGTCTGACCTTTCACTTTCCAAGTCTTTGACATATGCCGGTAATTCATTAACATGGCTGGTATTGACGTAGTTAATATCTAGTAGTTTTTGAACGCCATTCAGAAGCATATATTCTGTCGATGATGCGTGTGAAGTCTCAGCTGCTTTTTGTACATACTCAGTTTGTTCTCGGAGGTTTACTAACTTTGGTGAAACATCTGTATCTAGTTTTGCCAGTGACTCCTAAAATGCATCAAACACTGAATATCATTAAGTCATAGATGGAGAGTGCGTTCATTCGTACATACATTCTCACAAAAATGGACAACAAGACACTAGTTAAATAGTAATAGTTCCATAGAAAGTGTAACCTCAATAAGTTATGATAAACTTATCAATGCAGTGTGTTATATCCATATATATATATATATATATATATATATATATATATATATATATATCGTAATAGAACAAATCTAATTACAATTAAAGTTTGTTGAAAACCATAAATAAAGTAAATAATAATACCTTATAATCTTGGACAAACTGTGTAAAGTGGCTGAAAAGTGTTGATGGTTCCACAGTTTCCATTTTTTCCCCAAACATGGAACACGCACGTTTGTAGACGGTATGACAGCGCTGGTAGGATCGTCTCAGCATCCATATCTGTTCCTCGCCTTCTTCATAAAAGGTCTTGGATAAAGTCAAAGAAACTAGGTTAACTATTCTATGTAAAAGAAAAGTATCATCTCTTTATCTTAAACTGTCTCATCCAGAACCTACCAAAACATGATGTCTATACAAGGCTTTGTAAACAATAAAGGCGAAGGTAAAACAATGTTATATACTTGACATTAGAGACAAGTCGAACCTTAATTGCCTTTATCCTGATAATGAAATTAAGGAGTACAATTCTTACAACCTATCATGGTTACGTTAAACTGTAGTTTTAGTATGTGCTCATTTTAAAAGGATACAGTGAGTCGATCTGTCTGATCACCCGTTGTCTGGTTCATGTGTTCACCAACCATCCTCATGCCTTCGTCAAGCTCCTGAACCAGACTTGTCAGGCGGGCAAAGGCACCTGTGATACAATGTAGGTAAAACACATGTTCACTGTGTGTTATAACGTATGCATATTGATAAGAATCGGTATGTGATCAACAAAGTTAAAAGTAAATAAAAAAAAACATGTTGAGCAGGACAATAACATGTACAGCGAAAACAACAGAATATACACTAATAAACATATAGATGACATTCTTAGTAATACAATTACTTAACGGGTAATAAAACAGAAACATGATAATAGCCACTTGCATTATGGTATTACCTCCAATTATTCTAGATTTAAACAGTCAGTTAGCGAAAAAGGTTTAATCATACTTCATTGCTGAATTTTATTTTGGTTAAAGAAAACTCAGAAAAACTTAAACAATCATGAAATGGAGTATTATGAATCAGAACAGAGCATAACATTGGGCAGTTCTAATATTCGGCATATCGTTCCTCTTGTTGTGACTCGTTTCTTCCTTTTAAGCTCACCTTTGGCAACAGGCAGAATTTCAAGGTCTTTATACCAATAGAGGATATCCGGATACTTTCTTGCGATCATCCTCACGATGAAATCAAGGAGATTTTGCGTCTTGTCACTGGATTTCATGTCTTTCAGCTGATATAGAAAATATTCAGGTTCTTCATGCTGATCTTTAAACTCGTACGTATGATCGACACTCAAACACAAAACTTGTGTTGTAAAATCAATGTTGAAACTTAAATAGAATATAAGAAAATTACAAAATGTTTTACAATTAATTTTCTGTCAGCTCCTAGGATAACATATTCTTCACTTTTTTTTATTAAGCGTACACATCACAAAATACGCGAACCTAGATATGATATATAGCTTCAAAATAACATAGTGTATTTAACTAATGTACAGCCTATTTGTCCCCACGTATTATATATGCACTTACCGTTGATAGACAGGAAAGGTGGAAGCCCCTAGGAAAACCTCCTGTTAGGGTACTGACGTAGTTGCCGAGAAACAGGATGATCTATGTGTGGGAAAAGGACAATAATAACAGCGACAAAATGTATATTTGAAATAAAATGATATTGAAATCAAAATTAAGACTGACCACATTGTCATTAAGGATAAATCGCTTTGATTTCATTATCATTATTCAACATTACCTCAAACACCTCCGTCATCTTATCACAGCTCAGCAAAGAAGAAGCAGATTTGTGAATGTGATTTAGTTCCTGAAACAAAGAAATAGAGTCATTTCACATTTTGTTATTTGGGCAAAACTTCGAAAGGCAGACGATGTCGTTTGTTATCAATTATTTTTATACAATTACATCTGATCAAGTCGGGATTAAAGGCAGCAAACTGTACGAATTAACTCTCTTGTTCCGTTATCAGTTATCTTAATACATTTATATCAGATCAAGCCGGGATTATAGACAGCAAACTGTACGAATTAACTCCCTTGTTCCAATTGTTGAACTCACCGGTGCTAGCGCATCCAGCCTCTTTTGAAACTGATTCATGAATCCTATACATCTAAGCTTGCCTTCCAGATCGGACACGGACACCAGCTGTGAATGGTGTATATAACATTGTATATGTATTCACATTTCAGGTTTTTTCTTGAAATGCTGATAACATTTGTATCTTGTAAAACAATAACAAAATAACGTTGATAATATTGTGAACATCTTGGATTATACTCAAATATTGCCAAAAATTTAAAGAATAAAGAAAGAGTACCTGAACCATCACCTGTTCCGCCTCTGCCAAGTCGTCATAATGACAGTTTAGCGACATCACGTCTTTTATCTGAATAGAAAAATATAGGTTATTTCGCATTTTTTGCATTGATCCGACACCAATGTGAAACCAACATTTGTTATCAATATTATCAATTGTGCAACATTAAAACTATACCAGGGTACAACAACCTGTATCTCAACAGGATGGATAGAAAATATTTGGCACGTTTCACTACTACCTACCTCCGTCTCCGTTGGAATGAACCGTGAAAACAGTTCAGCACTGTCCGCATCCACAACTTCAAAGTCATAATGTTCTAGTGCTGATTTTATTTCCTCCGCTGACAGTCCCATTTTCCGGCGCACTAACACTGTAAGGGAGACAAATCTTTTATCTAAGTTTAAGTGCAAGTCGTTCGCCCAATGAACAGGTGAATGAAAAGCCTAAATATATATTTACAAAACCCCATTCTGGTCACGACGTGTTACGAAAAGTTACTGGTAGGTTGACATGTGACGTCAGAAGTTAATCAACAATTCAGCATTAATAGTTGTCTCCATGGTATTATTTACTAAACAAATCATATTCTTACATTGCTCCTCCTACCAATAACACCGCTAACAGTCCTCCTACTTACACAAATCGCGTGCTCTGGAAACTTCTAGAAAGGTTCGTTTGTTTTCCTGACGCACCCGTCTAAATTCTGGAATTGGAATTTATTCGTTACTTTCAATCGGTTAATGACACTGACCTCGCAATAATAAACACACATATGTAATATTTCCTTCATACAACTAATTTAAAACTGAAAATGTTGTTCGTAGGTTATTCTAAAGCATCTATAAACTCTACAACGAAAGTATTTTGGATAACGTCTTGGAACTGCTTACAGGAGATAATGTATTAAGAACTAATACCGGGCTGAAAGTTTTTACCTGGATTTTTCTTATGTGTTACGGACGGCTTTATTACTTCAAGTCGAAACGCTGCTTCAAATGTGTCAATGTCATCATCATGTAGTACACATTCGCCACTCAATTTCTGAAATGGATCACCGAAGGAATTATATTCCACTTCACATCAACCTCATATAAATGGTTTGAAATAAAGCATTTTTCTCTTTCATGTTTTATGAAGATGTACAGATTTTGAAAAGGTCTTTACCTGGAAAATAGTATCTTTGATATCGTGGAGAGGCTTCCAACAGAGGAAAGGAAATTTAATCCCTGTTTTAGGTTTTCTACAAGACCCGATACACGCAGGAGGTGGTGGAGGATCTGTTTAAAGTAACAAAATAGCCAGAAAATATACAAAAGAGACACTAGCGAAGAATAGAGCCTATAGATAGAAATGGATATACCGAATCATTGATAAAACTGCACCATATAGTTGTATAAGCATTTTGAATGCAGTAATTCAAGTATCCGCATAAAAAGAAAAACAAATGGAAGATTTAAATCAGCCTCAATCGGAGTGTAAAGACAGAAAGTACGTGTGTTAATATCCATATTCCATGCAATGATATTATCTTTTATTTTGCTACTTTAAAATCAAATATCTAATACGTGTGCAAATAATTAAGTTTATGTCAACAAGCATTTATCAGTTGGATAACTCGAAAACGTCAACAAATTTGTTTTATCTAATTACCGACGTTGTAAGTTGGTGATGCTGCTCAAGCTATTTTTTGATATCACAACCTTTGTTCTTATAACGTTGTTGTGCTCACCTGGAACCATGGGTTCTTCAGCAATTTGTGACTTCATTGAGGTGTCTTCTGAGCCACTGCCACTTGTGTTCCTTATGCTCTGTGCACAGATCATAAGTATGCAAAATCCAATGTAAAATAAAAATCTGACACAACACAATTTTACGCCAAAAAGCTGAAGATTTCAAATGAGTTTTGATTCCACAAACATACTTGAATTGATAAAATTCATACAGCTGTTGGAGAAATTAAATAAATATTGACTGACAGAGTACATAATGTATATATCTCGAAAGGGACGAAACATCTACTGATGAATACGTCAGGAGCAGATGTAATGTTCAATGTAGAATTACCTGAACTTCACCTTGGAGAATGCATAGCTGAAATGAAGAAAAATATGAAGATAGTAATACTGTCATAGCTTATTCCTAATATCACTGGAAAGTAAACTAAAATGCATTTACTACGGTAAAGATATTGACAATACACTAGTTATTAAAAATCAGTAAATAGTAATACTTCGTCATACCTGTTTCTGGAGATCATCATTAGTTGTTTCAAGAGATGACTGATGCTGTATCAGTGCGTCGACATCGATTAAAGTCTGCTGGAATTCGGCTAACTCTCGCTCCAGTTCCACGTGTTCGAGACTCGTTTCAACATTAACGCACTGCGATAATAAAGCAAAATGAAGATAACTTATGTTAGGAATATAACTAGTACAAGAGGTTGTTTATTGGTATTAAGAACTGGATATAGTGAAATACACTAGCACAAATCTGTCTAGAATTGAATTGTAAGAATAACCAGGTTGCATTACCTGCTTGAGTACATTCACATCTAGGCCCGCTGTGATCAGCTCGTTCTGGAGAAACACTCTGGCGTTCATGTTCGGGCTGGCAGCAAGTAGTGAGTTGAAAAACTTCATGCAACAAACCTGAATAAAATCAACGATCATTTTATCTGTGAAGTGATATATCTGACATTTGAAGTGGGATTTGTATCAACTATGCGTTTCACACCACACGTCCAGACATTATCTCGACTATTCAGTAACGTTAAAGGACGTTAAAGTACAAAGAAACATCTATTTATGTAACTGAAATCACACTCACCTGAAAGGTAACATTCTGAGAGTTGTTCGTCATTAACATACTGATGAGGAAGCGGAAACGAGTAGGCTCACAATTCTTCAGCCGAAAGTACGTGAAACAGTCCAAATTCCGGGACAATCCCTTCGGATCAGTCAAAACGAGACTCATAATCTACAAAGAGAACAAGATAAACATAAACAGCAAGCAGGAGCAATGTTTAACTTGTTGATGATTGGAAATCAGACAGAAGTAGACGATGTGTTGGAATCTTATGTCTATGATGTTAGTTGTCCACGTGCGATTTTCAATTTCATCGCAAGACCATACCAACAAGGATAATAACAATGTTAATAGATGTTGCAGTAGTAACAGAATCTTTAAATCGTTTTCATTTCACGTGAGATGGGAAGTCGTATATGATCCTCTATACATGTGAAATAATATTTCAACTCACCTGATCACACACATTTAAATTCATACACCTATATTGTAATAAAGCAAATATATTAACGTATTTTCATTTGGTAGTACGTACTTCCAACGCCACAAGACGGGATTTTGTGAATGAACTCATGAGCGCCGAAGCCACGGCTTCAAGGCCGTAAGACTCCTCTAGAAGCAGACTTGTGGCTTCCTAAAACAACAGATGTTAACGGTATCAACGGTTTAAAAAGTAGCTTAAGGTACAATATCAATACTTTCTGTTTCTATGACAAAACAAATCTCTCATCAATTTCTGCTTCGATAGACGTTCGTTTGCAAAAATCTTTTAACATGGGAGTAGTAATTCTATAGGAAAATAAGCGGCGACAGAACTCCTCTTAACAAGTTAAAGTTCGGATTCGGTCAGTAATGGGTTAAGCATGTTTTAAAATTAATCAATGGTCAAAGCTGTCTACTCCCAACGTATGAATAATGGACCTACACGTAAATACCATTAGGCGATTACGTCATACATACCTGCTCACGTAAGGTAAATTTGATACACAGCAAACAGTCGTATTCATCAGTCTGAAAATAGGAAAATATGATAGAGTGTATTTTCCACATATGTCATATCATTACCTTTATTAACTTATAAGAGTATTATCGGGAAGTGACGAAACTTGCATAGTGAATACATTCGTAGGATGTGTGTGCTTCAGCTTTAATAAAGAGAACTGATGTGGAATTGGTGTGGGAATTTTCGTGGAGTATTTGTTTCTTAACTTGGTTTTAAATTATCGAACATTGGGAACGGGAAATCCTTCTCCATACCCTGATATGGTTTGCCCGTTGTAAAAGTAAACATTTGCCATTTGCCTGTAACATACAAAACCTACCAACAATCTTTTGGAGTTGATTGCCTTGACTTTAGCAGGTGTCTTTGAGAGCTCAGATGTACACTTTTGAACAGCCTTAAGCAGAGTCAGCAACAACTTCATACCAAACAGCGGTTCCCGCAAAAAATCTTGTACAAAACTGCAAAAGTGAAGGTGGTGGTCAGTTGACATTATCAGAATTTGAGTTAACGGAAATGAATAGGATTCTGTCTAAGTATAGATATGAAAAATAAAAGTAATAACACAATTCTGTCCTTACCAGTAACGGTAAGACGGTATTATAATGCTACCTTGAAAACGACATCTGCAAGTCGACTTTAAGCTTCCGCAGTAAATATGACATGGGTCTCTCTTCTCGACTTCCATCGATTCTTTCTGGCTGTCCTGTCATGCTTTGCAAGTACTTCCGGAGGTGATCGCAGTACTGCTGTGCAGTATATACAGATGATCGCATTTGCTGTAATAAAGAATGTCGTGAAAATACAGTTAAAATATTAGGCCTTAAGCATCATTGAGGGGTTCCAAATGGACGATACCTCTCTTTGATGCAGTTAAAATCATTATTTGGTCTACTGTATATTATTTGTATGTGTATCTTTTATACAATCTTCGCGGTTGCAGATGGCAGACACTGCTGGTGATTATCTTTTAGTCCATTAGTCCCCGATGTTTGCCGCAACCTGTATGTCACGTTTTTATTCATTTGAGAAGTGATTCAGAATATACACATATACTTGTTCTCCTTTAATTATGAATTAAGAAATTTGGAATTTTTTTCTGAATTATAGGGCTAGTTCACCTCCTTGTGTAGATTTGGACATTTCTTTCGATCACTTTATATTATGACTCTCCTTATAGTTTTAAAATTTAGCCCCTAAGCATTACTAACGAGCCCTTGATTAATAAAAAAAACAGTTGTATGATGTACTTATTGTTTGACTGTATCTTTATAGATTTGAATTGTAAGGTGCTATTTAGGTGTATTTCAACGTAACTGACAACACATAACAAGATGGATTTTCATAATCTGTTGACATTTGTACCTTATTCATTTGATGGTGGACCAGGCTGAACCTCTCATTCATGTGTCTGTACTGCGTACGTCATTTTAATAAACAAAATTGGAATATCGGAATCCTTTCAATGTAACTGTTTCCTGAATACTTTCTTTTATGATGTTTTATTACTCCTGTCTCCACCGGACATCAGTTATGTAGTTCATTAAATACGGACGCTTCCGTCTTGTATCGAAAAACGTTTGACAACGTTAGTCTATGCACACATATTAACCAAAACATTTTCCAATAAATTGTTGAGGAACCCAATATTGAAGCTAGACGGAAAAAATCTGTTGACTTTAAATAGAGCTAATAATCACGTATGGTAACTTTGTAATATTTTATGGTATTTGATTTGGTCGATTGTGATTCTGCGTAATTGGAAACATTTACTATGTCATGTAACTTCTTTTGTTAAATAAATATCAAAGCGATCAGTCTGGCATGTTATCGTTGTTAGAATTATATACTTTTTTCTACATAGATTTTAGCGTATATGAAATAGACCATAAAATTATATATCTAGATGTCACCTTCCCGGTTGAACTTCTAAAAAATATTTATCAAATCACCCATTAGCCGAGGTATGTTATTAGTCATCAAGGAAAGAAAATGGGATTCGACATTCATTTCAAGCGTTGAGACAGTTATAGAAATACGAATAAGATGGTTTTCATCTCGTGAAGTGATGAACTTATCAATTTCATTGAATTATACCTCCCCTGTCTGTGGCCTCTAATTGTGGACTATCATGTACGTAATTAATAAGATGGTATCTATCCGCGCGAAGAGTTTCTGTGTAATTAGCTGGGCATTAAGATCTTGTTCCAACGTAACACCACTTCAGAACAAAAAGAGACACCGAATGCATGCACCTATATCAAAGGAACTGCTAGAAATAAAGCCATTTAAATCAATTATATCTGCAAAAGTATGTAAAGATCGGTTGATGCCATCGCAATAACTACCTCAAAATAGATAATGTAACAATACAGCATATTCACTGAAGACCTCGGCCAACCTTTAGTATTCCGTTTAATTAGGTAGTGCGTTATACTTTATGGTTAAATAGGTGGACCAAGAAGGCCGAAGGCCTAGAGCACGAGTACATGATTCAAAACATTTGACGGAAAGGGAGTGTAGACGATAGAAAAACCCATAAGTGGGAAGGAAGAATCAAGATCAATGTCCCATGTTTTATCCAGTCAATACAATCATTCCGCTACTTATGGCTATTTATAAAAGTTTTAAAGGAATAATAAGTAATTATCAATTAACACGCGCCACGTTATATTGCTGATTCGATACAAAAAAATGTAGAACTACATATAAATATATGTACTAAGATATACCGTTGTAAAATTACAAACGGAATCAGTCTTTTTATATAGTATACAGTCTATATTGAATATCCATTCACACTTTGGTGATGTACTGTTCTTGTTTACCCTTATAGATATTTTATTACCGCTATACTTTTGTGTGTTACTGAACTGTTTACATGTGATTATAAAACGTTATAAAAATTCCAGAATTCATATGATATCAACTTATCCGAGAGGAGCACACCAATATAAATGGTGAAATTATGTTTCCTGTGCTGAGGATGTCTTTGCTATATTATTACATATTGATTGAGATATAAATGCTGTCAAATTATTTTAACTTTAAAGTTATCACATGTTTGTATTTACAACTGTTAGAACTATTACATATTTTACCATATAAAAGCTATATTAGTATTTGTAAAACTGATCGCGAACCCTTTGCCACCCAATTGCGGTAAAAGTTTCGCAGCAACCACCCACCTCTCAATAAAAGCAAGGAAACAAATTACAAATTACTCACTTGATTGAAAATTATTTTCCATTTTTCTTCTGTGGACAAAACTGTAGACTGTCGAAACTGACCTCCCCTTCGGAACGACGCCATTGTCTTCAACACAATTTGCAAATATGAGTGAAGAAATCTCCAGCGCTGCTCGGTATATCCCGTCTAGATCATTTTCTCCATAATAGAATTAACAAAGGGTCACGGGGTCTCATTCAATGCTCCTGAAACGTCACTATAGCTCGCACTCTGTCGTACCACTGCTTTGTCCTTTAAATACCTTCATATAAAACAAAAACAGTGTTTTAATTGCATGACTACTTTGGTTATAACTGAACCATCACATACTACAGTTTGACTGTTTATATAACCTTACATTGTCAATAGCAGGAATTTTAATTTCCCGTTGAAACTTCTACAATGACTACCTATTTACCTTAATTAAACAATGCGCTTTATTTCAACCACTCTGACTATATAAGATATGACAATGAACGTGGTCGACAAAGTTCTTATATTCGACAAGTAAGTCGGTATAGGCAACCATTTACTTAGAATTGTTCTGGAGAAAATAGAACCAACCGGTGAAGGTTCCAAGCTTTGGATATTTAAATGCGGGTCGAAGCCCGGACCTGTCCGGACTCTTACAGTATTTGGTCTAGATTAACGATGCGTAACATCGATTGCATTCGTTTAATGACATTTCGTATTCTTATGATTAACCCGTTGCCACCCCACGTCTTTCCTCTCATAGGTCAACTCTATAGTACATACATCCATTCCTCATTTCCATTTCATTTACTGGCTACTACGTACAGATGTACTTTTACATGTACATGAACACCCAAAATATGTGCTCGTATTACAGGAAACTTCACTCGTGTCGTCTGATATGATGTCAGTTTTCGCAAGTTTTGAATACATCTTTGGCGTTGTAGAATCCATAAAATTTGAACATTAATAGAGCACCTATAATCACACCAAATGTACTTAATTGAAATATCTTGTTTTGATTTATCAGATACGCTTGATGTTATTTGGAACATATCCATGTGGCTAACTTCTACCTTACAATAACAATAAAAAAATCGTGTTAACACAATCTTAATCAAAATTCATAAAAACGCCGAGTGTGAACAAAAGAAATATCACCAATGACACTCCTGAAAAAGGACAAAGAGAATAAGACCAGATGTTCAGGAAGAATAAGCGTTTTATGTGTCATCGATGATATTCGTCAAGCAAGCAGCGTCACGTTCAAGAATGAGCAAAAAATACTGATAATAATTTAATTATGTTATAAAACATGATTTACATTTCCGGTTATCTTAGCCTTGATGAAGTTAGTAAAATCCAGTCACTTCTTTTTCGGCGAAGATTACCGCGTACTTTTGGATCGTTTTGTAACTTTGGTGCATGTCTACTGTTTATATGTACATATGTGATGCGGTGTTTTTATATTCAGGAAGTTCACTGTATTTCATTCGAATAGTGGCAATGTTCACGGAACATAAAGCTTGTACTTTCTTTTAAAATTATCAGACGTATGAAAATTACGAAATTTACTATTGAATTATGGGTCTGGTACACCCTCATCACCAATTTAAATTTTGACATTTCTTTCGAACAACTTATAATTCACTTACATCGCCTGCTAAGTTTACCTTTCAGGCTCTTAGCATCACAGACGAGTCCTTTAAGGACGAAATAACTGTATGATGCACTTTAATGCTTTGTTTGTCTCTACTACATGTTATAAAAAATGTATTAAACGGTGCTATTCATCTGTGTCTCTTTTACAATCTTCACTTCCCTTCATCAACCCATGCAAGCCCTTACAAAGTCGAAGTTAAAATGGATGTTTAGTATTGATACTTATCATCATCTGTGACGTTGGTTTCGTAGATTCGGGGTGAGCATTCCTTACAGGGTTTTATACAACAATTTACCAACAAGCACTCAGTCGAAGAATTGCCGAACCCGACACTGTCGAGTATAAACAAGGATCAAACTACCGAACACAACCGCTGTGCTGCTGCTATTGTTATCATTGTTTATCGTTTAAATGTTTACCATGGACAATGCCAGTAATGTGAATTTAACACCATAGATCGACGCCTGCCACGAATTTATGATTAATTTCTATTGTCCCAAACTCGTGCGTTCCAGATTATGTCAGTATATCTGTGGGAGTATTTCAGTGATATCAGGACAGGGGGTCAATAGTTGATCGATAGGAAATCAATATGTTCCTAAATCCACAATACAATAAGAGCAATCAGATATGTATCGATGTCGACAAAGATGACAGCTCCGTTATCTGCTGTGGAGATATTGCTCAACCCTGATTAGTAAATCAGTAGACTTGTCCGCTCGTAAACAAAGTGGTCCAGCGCTAGTTCATAAAGCAGTGTTCAAAACATTATATGCATCAGCTTTCTAACTATTTATTGCAAGCAATACAACTGATCATCACTTCTTTCGAAATATCAGTCAAACAATTAATTTTTTGTACTTAATGTTAAAATTACATTTACTATCTGTCTTTCTAAAAGAAACTGGTGTCTAAACTCGACAAGAATCACTGACAGCTTTCCCAACTTTCACAATAGCGAGCAATATATTACTTTTCTCTGTCCACTAAGGAACACCCTATGATGCATGTACACCATGCATCTTCATCTTGTTCTTGTTCTTATAAAATCGCTCATTTTCTCCTCCTATGGAGAAAACAAATACATGGCTTTATATAGGATTCTTACCTCGTGTCGAAATCATTCTCTGTCGTTTTTCCATCAACTTCTCACACAAGACCTATATAAAACCACAACTTTTGTCGCGGTAGCACCTCAAGTAATCTGTTTAACTCTGCTTGTAATTCGTTATTATAACGGGTGCCTACTGCATTTTGTCTTTTGAAATGATAATGCGATTTACATTCTTTATGAATACATTTTAAATGGATAATAAACACGTATATTCACACCAAACCTGATGAGATTCGTTTATATATACATATAATGGCCTAATTGGATTTAGAAAAAAACCTGCGTGTGTTTATTTTTATAAGTACCTAGGGTTAAGTCAAAGCTGTATTGGATTGAGGCCCTGTTACAGTAAGGGTCAATTGTATACGCGTGTATTATTGTTTTTAAATTATACACGCTTGGAATGTTTTGTGTATTTATATACATTAATCTAACTCAAGTTCGCTGATTATTATTCGTGATATATAAGGTTTCTATTTTATATGACACGCTTAGATTGACAATGTCTTCTACAGTTTGTCACAACGCTATTTTTTGCAATGAAAATTCAAGGCAAGAAATACCTACCAAAGAAAATGTTTTCATTAAAATGTAGATAAAGAGCAGGCTTTCTAATTAGATAGAAATCGGATACTCTATCAAGCATAATTCAGTATTTTCGTTATTCGACCATCCTAATATAGTTTTATCCATTGTAGTTTAATTACACATAAAGCACTTTAAACTCTTTGTTATCAACGCTGGTATTTTTCTTCTATAACATTTTAACTGTTAGAAATTATCATTGTTAAAAGTATTTATCTACCCGTGTATGACATACATGTCTACTCGGGTCCGTCATGTACTGAAGATCCCTTACCACAGTTGTATGTATTTAAAATCATTGTACACATCACAATAAAATCTTACATTGAAATGACTCTCCTGTACAAAGCAACATGATGTATCCTCGGACCATACTTTTACAAACATCGAGAACACAGAATATAAACATTCTTTGGCAAAAATTATCGATTATTTTATCAGTGAAAATGCAATTTGATTTACTTTCCTTGAAGACGTTTAATAAACCCCTGATATATGTGGAATGTATTGACTTTCTTGGGCCTGTTGATGTTCTCCCTTGTTTCATGAGATTTTCGTGTGATCTTAGTTTCTATCATGAAATTTAGGATTACGTCATCAACATGATAGATATATACATAAAATAGTATCACTTATTTACCAGTAATACTAGACAATCGTATGTTTTAGGATTACGTCATCATCAACATGATAGATATATACATAAAATAGTATCCCTTATCAGTAATCCTAGAAAATCGTATATTTTAGGATTACGTCATCAACATGATAGATATATACATAAAATAGTATCACTTATCAGTAATACTAGAAAATCGTATGTTTTAGGATTACGTCATCAACACGATAGATATATACATAAAATAGTATCACTTATCAGTAATCCTAGAAAATCGTATGTTTTAGGATTACGTCATCAACATGATAGACATATACATAAAATAGTATTCTTACTTACCAGTAATACTAGACAATCATATGTTTTAGGATTACGTCATCAACATGATAGATATATAGATAAAATAGTATTCTTACTTACCAGTAATACTAGACAATCATATGTTTTAGGATTACGTCATCATCAACATGATAGACATATACATAAAATAGTATTCTTACCAGTAATACTAGAAAATCATATGTTTTAGGATTATATCATCAACATGATAGACATATACATAAAATAGTATTCTTACTTACCAGTAATACTAGACAATCATATGTTTTAGGATTACGTCATCATCAACATGATAGACATATACATAAAATAGTATTCTTACTTACCAGTAATACTAGACAATCATATGTTTTAGGATTACGTCATCAACATGATAGACATATACATAAAATAGTATTCTTACTTACCAGTAATACTAGACAATCATATGTTTTAGGATTACGTCATCAACATGATAGACATATACATATAATAGTATTCTTACTTACCAGTAATACTAGACAATCATATGTTTTAGGATTACGTCATCAACATGATAGACATATACATAAAATAGTATTCTTACTTACCAGTAATACTAGACAATCATATGTTTTAGGATTACGTCATCAACATGATAGACATATACATAAAATAGTATTCTTACTTACCAGTAATACTAGACAATCATATGTTTTAGGATTACGTCATCAACATGATAGACATATACATAAAATAGTATTCTTACTTACCAGTAATACTAGACAATCATATGTTTTAGGATTACGTCATCAACATGATAGATATATACA